AGTTGTTGTGGAAATTTTGTTATAATTGGTTACAATACGGGTCATGTGGACAGATATAATATACAGTCGGGTATTCATAGGGCCTCTTATGGCAAAAAAGGTAACAATTGTTTACATGATTTGTAAATATATATATGAAACGAATGATTATTTTTAAAGCACATGAAAGCGCTGTGAGAGGTGTAGCCAGCGATGGACTCAATCAGTTTGTCATAAGTGGTGGAAACGATACAAAATTAAAGTTTTGGCGCTTTAATGGCTCACAACTACTGACAACAATCACTTTAGACGCGCCCATCAATCAACTCGTTCTTCATAAAGAAAGGTTTGTATCAACTCTTCAATTGACGAGACAATTAAACTGATATTTCTTTGCAGCTCTTTATTAGCGGTTTCTTTAGACAACTTTTACGTTAATATAATTGACTGCGAAATGCGTCGTCCGATTCGTGTGTTTGGTCCGCACGGGAATCGCGTCACAGACATGGCCTTCAATGGCGAGAGTCGATGGCTCATCACTTCGAGTATGGATTCTATTATCCGAGTCTGGGATTTACCGTTAGGTCTATTAGTCGATGCATTCCGAGTGTCCACTCCTTGTGTCAGTCTCTCCCTCTCACCGACGGGCGAGTTCTTAGCGACCGCTCATTCCGAAGAAGTGGGCATTTATTTGTGGGCAAACCTCTCGCTCTATACACCCATCACTTTACGGCCATTACCTGAAGATTTTGAACCCGTTTTGCTTGAAATGCCTGTCATTCGAAGTGATGAGGAAGAAGATCAAGAATTCAATGATTTAAATGTGGATTCAAATGATAAAGTGAACGAAGAAATCAATGATAGCGAGAGTCTTGCATATAAATCGCCGGAACAATTGGGCGAAGATTTAATAACACTGTCTTCACTGCCGGACTCTCGTTGGAAAAATCTCTTGTGTTTAGATATAATTAAAGTTAGTTTCTATAGATATAATGAATTATCAGGAAATCTAATGAAATATTTTTATTATAGAAACGAAATAAACCCAAAGAAGTGGTCCATAAGCCGGAAAACGCGCCCTTCTTTTTGCCGACAGTTGCGGGACTCGAACCTAAGTTTGCCGTCGAAGACAAGCAAAAGAATGATGACATGGATATCGACAGCCATATCGTCGACAAATTGAAACCCATTTCATTGTTCGGCGAACTAATCATTTCATGTAATAATGATTCAAATTATAGTCCAGTTGTGGAAAGACTTAAATCAATGGGTCAGTCGGCCATCGATGCAGAAATACGTTCGCTTTCCACTCAACTCAATGGTTCCCCTAATCTATTGATATACTTCTTGGACGCAATGGAGACGACACTCAAAATCAATAAAGACTTTGAATTAATTCAGTCTTATTTGGGATTATTTCTCAAAATACATATCGAAGACATCATAAGTAACGACACACTGAAGACACGATGTGAACAGTTGTGCCAAACGACCGAAGAGTTATGGGATAGGCTTTCCAACGAATTTAATAAGTCGTTGTGTTTAACAAATTACTTGAGAAGTGCTGTCCTTTGATTTGATGTAAAGTTATTTTTATTTATGAAAAGATGTAATAAAAGCACGAATTTCTTTGTTAATGAAATCGAGGAAAAGTTGGTTCTGAACGCAAGTCTTGCTTACTTTCATTTGTTGTATTAAAGCGCTCTTATTCTCCTCTATAAAGCCTTTGTTGACACCTCTAGTGGTGATCACTTTACTGCTGGTCTTGAGCTGTGCGCCCAATGCCGAGGAGGGCTTGAGTTCGAGTGCGATCTCTCTCTTATCAATAATACTCATCACGTCTTCAATGATGTCAGGAATGAATACATAGTTGAAAAAGTAGTGATAAGTGAACTTTTGGTGCGATTGCGATGAGCCGTGAGCTTTGCCACAATTGCGTATCGATGACATGCATATGAGGAACAGTTCCACATTCTTTGGCCACTTATATTGGGAGAGCACCAGTAGGTGACCGATTCCCAAATCACTCGGCTTTAACGATAATAGCACTCGATCTTTGAGGCAAAGTATTATCACTTCAATTATATAATTCAAAATGTCGTCGACAGTAAGCGGTAGGAAATAGAGCTGTCGAGCGCTGGCACTCGTCTCATGGGTTGAGCTGTTTGTGATGGCGTTGTCTTTGCTTTTGGTATCGTTGGAGGGGTTGTTCTTGAGTTGCGGAAGCAATTCGATTGAGTCGAGACAATGTTTAAGAGTGGAGTTATAGTCGTGAAGCATAAGTGAAACTGATATTAATTGTAAATTACTTTTAATATTAGCGGTCTTTCTATTGACAATTTGCGTCAAAACTTCGTTATATTCGGCTCTATATATGTTTGAGTCGATCACAAATGAATGATAAGACTGACACGAATTCAATCCAATTATTTCCGATATTTTATTGAATTCTATTGAAAAACAAACAAATGAATTAACAATAGAAACATTCAATGAGTTTATGATTAAAATTACCCGAACTTATGGTGAGATTTTCATGAAGTAGTTTCAGTGCTTTAGAGGCGACCACAAAGATTTGTATCAATTGCTTGTTAGCGGTCAAGAGGTCGGGTTCGGCCAGTTTTCGCTTCTTATTCAATGAGAGAGCGATCTTTGCCTCACTGTATGAATGGTTCGACTGCTCTATTAATACAATATCTGAACTCAATTTCAAATATTTATGCAAACATTGAAGAAAGAGAAGAAGTGTTGCGTAAAGTATTTGTTGATTCGTCTGTTCGTCGCCGCCGATCATCGCAGTCGTCGCCGAACTTAAATCCATCGGCGAATCCGTGTCTCCTCTGAACCTAAACTCGTCGATAAACTTCGATATCTTGTCGTAAATCAATTCCAATTGCCTTTCGTTCACAAAATCAATGTTTTCAAAGAGTTTCCATTCGTTCTTCAAACCAATCAAATGAAAGATTTCTAATGTTTTTTGTTCAAGAATTTCATTGTTTTCTTTATTACCACAACTATTGTCCTGATTATCATTTGTGTCCATATTTTGATTAAGTCTATCGCTTTGGACAACAATTAATCTTTCAATGAAATATTTAAGCGTTTTTTGCATTAAATTGTGAATAATATCTGTTTTGAGAACCAATTGTGAGGTTTTGGCAAAAATTATGGGCAAAACATCGAAAACTAGTTTTTTCTTAATGTATTGATTCATATTGTGTTGAGAATCACTATTTGCTGATTCAATAGTGTTGTCATCCATTATGTCAATCAATTTGATCCCATTCTCCACAACACTGTCGGGAAATCTCTTCAAAATAAAGAGCATTAAATCAATCAAAACGAGTTTATCATCGGTTCTGTCGGCCACTCGTCTCAAGAGTTTGTACTGATATTCAGTGGTCAGCGAAGCGAAGAGTTTTGAATAAAACTGAATCGAGTTTTGACTCAAATTCATCCAATGATTGCCAAACAGTGAATGCATTTGTTGTTCATTCAAGTGATGTGTTTGCCATTCGTTACGACAAGAGATGATAATTTTGTTGAACTCCTGGATCAGCTCGTGTTCGCACTCTTGCGTGTCAAACATGTCACACAAGTATTTCACCGCTTCCTCCACATTGGCCTCGCATTTGGACATCTCATACGATTCCATCTGAAAGACACAACACATGATAATGAGCTCATTAGTGGTAAGCGTAAGAGTGGATCCATTGATGCAAACCTTGACGCTGTCGTTGTGTGGGAACAACGCATTCGCTGTCATAATCCAAGACTTGGCATAACTCGAGTCCCCATTCAATAGGCAACTCTTGGCCCGCGATATCATATACTCTCGGGTCTCGTCTTCACTATTGATAACCATTTTGTGGCCAAAACTTGCCGTCAATTCGACAACAATTCAAAACATAGAGTCTATGAGAGAGTGGTGTAGTGTTGGGCCCATTCATACACGACGTACTCGAATGGTGCACATCATTGCTGGACAGCCCCTACAAAATGGCAAATCTATTGTTTTTGTACACTATTTGTGAAATACAATCAAAATATAAACATTAATTTATTTATTCATTTAGTTATTAATTTAGGTTTAATTGTAATTTAATTAATATTAATATTAAGTTATAATACATAATATATACATATATATAGACTATAATAACGATTGAATTGACAATACATTTACAAAACAATTGTCAGGTATTTCTCATTCAATGCAATCATTATCTCAATTGTATTGATGTTTAAAATTATATTTATATTAATTAACAATTTATGGCTTTATTTATAAATGATTTGTTTGAAACAAATTGATAATTATTTTTTGTATAGCATTTAATTGAATGCAAATTTGTATCAATTATTAATTGAATCTCAAATGAGTTTATATTTGCTTCAAATTGACTCATTGTCTCAATATTTACCATAATTTAAAGTAAATCTAAGTATTTAATGAAAAATGTCATTTCACTGCTTGTATGGACACGTATTGGGAGTGTTTGATGGGTTTCCCACCTCTTTATGGGTGGCAAAGGGCTCATCAAGTATTGAAATGATTGACATATTATTGATAGTTATGTTACAATGTTATGTAACAGTTACATGACATGACTCATGTAACACTGCTTTTAACTAATAGCCCGACTTATGGGGTAAACACCGCTATTATATATGCCATACAATTAGCATATTCTGGTCAAACACTATAATAGAGGCTTTGTTTACTTAAACGGTCCATCAGTTTAAGGCTTATTATTTAAAAGTTGTGTTAATTATAGTTGAATTGAATTATAATTGTATTTGAAATTAATTGAAATGATATTCAAATAATTACTTAAAATGTGATGCTTTCATGTCTTTCAAGCCATCCATCCATTGATTGTATCATTGAATGAATGGCAAGCCTTTGAGATCGTGATTATGTAGACTTTAATAGTGAACACTCGATATAATTAAGCATTAATTGATATAATTCTAGTGACCACTCATTATATGCGAAGACATGAGGGTTTTAATACAGCACTTGATGTGTAATCAATTGATATTTCTTTCTAACATTGATTTTTATAAATTATTATTTTTGTAATATTTCTAAATTCAATATTTTAATGATTCAAACGTATGACAAATATATAGGTTTTGATGATTTAGGGATCGTTTGAATCAAAAGCACTCATTTTGAGTGATTTTGACTTAAATTTAATCCAATAGTGTTATGGAAGACGAAGACGTCCTCCAATTGCTTACCGGAGACGACGAGTTCGACGCAGACATCGATGAAGACGCCGAGAAAGAGCTGTTACGAGACGACGAGTCCATCGCCGCTGATGTCAGTGTATCTCAAAAACATAAGTTTGAGACAAACGAGTCGATTGATGACGAAGACGATGACGACGACAGAGATAATGCCCGCAGAGGAAGGTTTAAGTCCGAGAGAATCATGTCTTTGGTCTCAGTTCCCACTCGAAGACAAGAAATTCCCGATAATTTGGAATCAGTTAAAGTGAACGAGAAGTTTAAGACACAACAAAATCGGAATCATCACAACAATAGAAGACATAATAATAATATGAATAATGATTATTCAAATCAACAAAAATATCGCAATTCTCGTCACAATCAAAATCTGGCCAATGATTCACAAAATCGACACAATTATCATCAAAACAAAGGCTTACTTCCATTGCCTCCACCAATGATTGGCCAACACTCGAGTCCAGTACATCCTCCACAGCAACCAATGCACACCATTAACACCAATGTGTTTGGCCAACAAAACAACCCGAACCCCAATCCCATCAACACTATTCACGTGAACCCACACTTCAGGGCCCGAACGCCCAATCAGTTCGAGCTCTCGCAGACTGCAAGACCTCAAGAGAAACAGCAATACATACCACCAGAACACCAACCATTCAGACCTCCCGAACAACAATATAGACCACCGGAACCACAGTTTAGACCTCAGATGTCCGCTGGAATCCAATCAATACCTCAATTCCCGCAAAACATTAATAATTCACAACAATTACCATTCAATCCACAAATGGATCATCACATGAGACCTCAGTTTATGGCAAATAACATGCCATTCAATGATCATAATATTCCTCAGATGTCACATCAAATACGACCTCAACAACAGCCCCTATTATCGCAGCCAATGCATCAACACATCCAGGTTTGTGTCATTTAGTCAATCTAAAGCCTATCTTTACTCAACCCTTAATTGATTTGTCAAAACAGATGGACAACCAATGGAGGGGTGGAAGCAATGTTCATATGTATCCAATGCAACACAATTTGGGTCAACAGTTAATACCACAACAAATGCCATTAAATCGTCCGCCGATTCATTCAAACCCAATGTTGAATTCATCACAAGCGCCACAACAGCACAACTTTGCGCCCAATAATAATCAAGCATTTAATCCGAATTATCAGTCGAATCAACAGATTGTGACACAAACCCCTCCAAACCATCCATCACTTCAAATGCATAACAATTATAATCCTCAACAACACTACCCGTTAATGGAAAGCCAGAGATTTCCTGTTCAACACAATTATAACCAAATCCAGTCGTTAGGCCCACAAAACTCTCAAACATTTCAATCGCCTTCTAATCAGCAAATGTTTAACACACAAAATAATGGCATTCATATGAATCAATTGAGACAAATATCACCACAAATTAGACCACATTTGAATAAACGTCCAGCAAATCAGTCATCACAAGACAACAGATCCCAAAAGGCGTTCGCTGAAGAACAGCAACTAAGAGCAGAAGCTCTAAAAGCGGCACAAATGAGAACAAAACGGGCGAAACAGGTGTTAACTAAAAAACAACAAAACGTGAAAGAAGTGCCAATTGTGAGGAATGCAAACGCCGTTGAGAGCCAACAGAATGTGGCCAACAGAGAGATGGAAGCGTCTGTTGGTGTCGATGAAGAATATAAGAAGAAATTGGAGGAACAGAAACGTCTTCGCGAAGAGATTTTACGCAGAAAAGAGGAGAGAAGGAAAGCAACCGCTGCTCAGCGACTGCAGGCATCCGATGGTGTAAAACCTGTTCCTCAGATACAGCCCATTAAAGCACCACCTCTTCAGACCATGAATACACCCGTCAAGACTCAACCGCAGCAACAAATCGCAACACTTCTAAACCGATCGCCACAATTGGCTAAACCACCGCAACAACAGATGAGACGTGTTATCAACAAACCAGTGCTTAATAGAGTTGTTGTCAATCCTAATCAAAAGCGATCGGTTTTGATGAAAGGCTTGGCCACCAGTACTAACGAACTGACGATTAGAAAGTTGTGTAAACCCATCGGTGCGATAGAGTCGTGTAAAATAGTGACAATTGGTGGTCAGAGGAGTGGAACCGTTACATTCATGCGAAGACAGGATGCGGTCGCCTTTCAGAGCAAATATGACCACACTTTACTTGATCTCTGCGTTATTCAAGTGTCACTCATTTAATCAAACTTTACATTTCATTGCATTTATATTTTCATTCTATATATGTATAGAAAATAACGAATTAACTGTATATTTAAATATTCAAAACATCAATAATTATTTCCCTCATTCAAAATAAATTAAATAAAAATCAATGCTTTACTTAACTAATGATAGTTTCAATTGCCGTTGCATTTTGTAATCGTTTGCACAAAAGTTGGTCAAAAGTATGTTTACATTTTAAGAAATGCATTATTTTTCTGTAATCTAAACAAAACAATTGAAACCCAAGTCTTTCTAAGAGACGGATTTCTAACGAAGGGCCAGACTTTAGGATCGATCTATCGTTTAGGGAATAGTCATTAAAGTGGATCACATGAACCGCTTTATAATTGTCAAACATTCCTTCTCGTAGTTCACTATAATTGCAATCAAATGACAAATCCGTGGAATTACTGCTAATTATTATTATTGGTTGTGTTGTGAATGGAAATATGGGACACAAATGAACTCTCGAAGAACCCAATTGTCTTTTTAATTCTTCAAATAACTTCCAAATGGGTTGCAGACCTTGTCTTCTGTTAACACCTTTAAGACTTAAACGATTTAATTCATTGCCTTTCAATAAAAGATGAGAATATTCTCCATATTTTTCAATTGAAAGACAAGAATTGAGTTTTAGAAGTGATGTCTTAAAGTTTGGATCCGCACAATCTGTCCAACAATAATCAAACTTTTTAGTTCATTGTCAGCAAAACAATGTAAACGAGACTTACTTTCAACCAATTTAATGGATTTGTAATCAAAACAGCGTTCAATCAAAACTCGTGGATAAAAATGTTTGAAACAAAAATGTGTCAAAATATTTGGTAAATATTCGCTAAAGTATTTGGAATTTTCAATGAAATGTTTGCTAATATTGTCTAAAGTGTTATAATTGATGACATGATTGAAATCATTGGCACATAATAACAATCTGTCGATATATTTGTGCCGAAAATCATGTGGTGTTGAATCGAAACGAGCGAATGTCTCGTCAATGAGTGTTTGGTCGTAAAGTTTGCTTTCATTTAAGAGTCTAATCAATTGGATTAATGCAAAAACATTATTATCCAAGTGTTTGTACTTTTCAATCAATTTATAGACTTCTTGTTTGTAAATGAAATCATAGGAAAAGCGAATGGCTTTTAAAATATCAGTTTTTGTAAAACTGTTTGTTTGGTTTGAAATTGAAGACAAAGTGTTGCGAAGGATTGAACGCAACAAATGGTGAGTGAGTTTAGTGTCGGTCTTCAGGAATGACATGCAAACGATAGACATCTCGTCTAAATCCATGCCATCAATCAATCGCTCCGTTTGTTCACAAATATAAGTCATATATTTGGCATCAATTATACGATTAATATTCATATAAAACAAGATATGAAGTAATTCTTCTTTGGTTAGCGATAACTGTCTATTAGTTATCAAACGAATCAATGATTTATTAAATTTACAATATTTGCCGACATTTAGTTCACAGAAGAGGTTTGCAATCAATAGCTTTTGAGGCAACTCTTGTCTCCAGCTATCAATCGATGCATTCATATTCAGCCTAAGAGTCAATTCATTGTCCAAATGAGACCACATTTTGTAGACAGAAGACTGAAAACTATTGCCATTTGTTTTTTGCCATAAAATAACAACTCTTAAGATTGAGATCAGATGAGAGTCGGATAGTGTGGACAACACTCTAACCAATCGTCGTATCTTCAGATCTTCGATGGCGTAATATTTGGGACAAATTGTCATAAAATCCAAATATATTTGTGACACATATTTATCACTCAAAGCACATCCCGAAGACAACTCTTCTCTCACACCAATCGACTCTATTATTCGCAATGCATTCCTATTGTGACTGCAATTGGCATCACTTTCACCACCACTTCCATCACTTCCCATCACTTGTGATGTCATACATCTTCTCCACACTTGTCGTGAATTATGGATCAAATGAAACCGAAGTCTAAACATCACAAACAAACCATTCATTAGTTTACAATCACTTTAAAGTTTTCATTTAAATTTTAAATGCATTTCTTGTGAATACAATAATAACGTCAAAGAGTTGATTGCCTTTTGGCCCACAATTCCTCAAACTTACGAATACTATAGGTTTGATGGCATCTGACTCTCCTCTCACTCTCCCCTCCCCTTCGCGTTATTTATGCGCCGAAAGACAACAACAATGAAAGCTATGATGAAATGTAAACAATTTGTGTCCAAATAATTGGCATTTAGTGTCCGATTGTCTGTCAAATCAATCATCCCTTTCAGTGGCAATGGATTCGTCGGAGAAGATAATCGTGGAGAGAGTGGCGAACATGTCTTCGAGAGATGGCATCAAATATCTGCTGAAAGAAGTGGAGAAAAGTCACACAAAAGGAGTGGAATTGAAACGAATCGTCGAAATGGTTAAGAAGGAGAGAGAAGTGCTGTTATATGAGCTCAAGAAATACCAACACGTGTTCAACACTTACCATCAGTTGCAGACACGACTCATACAACTCTTCAACAAGAATCACGAGTTATCGCAACACAAACTCTTCCTCTTCACAGCCATTAAGAGAATCCAGAAAGAGATGGACGCCTCCAATGGTGCGCCACCGGAACCGCTACCAGACATCCCCACACAACCCATACCTCTATGTCTTCAAAAGCCTCACTTAAGTCCCATTCCTTTGCCACCGAAACCGGAGAAACCAATACTGAACGGCGAACTCGAATTCCTACCCGATTTGCCACCAATTAATCGCTTCAATTCACCACAATTACCGCAGAGGAATGGGTCCCCGTCTAAGCCCAACACTCTTAACCAAAAGTTGAGTCCCAAAAATAGCAGAAAACATGGCTTAAAACCAATCAGTTTTGTTTATAACTCAACTATTATTGACTCAAATTCTATTCATACGAAGACTAATAACCACAATATTATCGACAATACGTCCATTCATTCAAATTGTACGCAATCTTCTCTTTGCAAACAATTATATCCAAATGAAGTCAAATCAAGTGATGAATCAAAACAACTAATAGAACCAAAAGTTGTCAAATCAATTGAAGAGCCGAAACAATTGAGATCAGAGGCAAAACTGATGACACATTTGGAAACTAAACGGTCACAGAAGAGGAAGTATAGCAATGATGACCACAACAATGAATTCAAAATATCTGAACAAATGGATTACGAATTGAGTGAACAAAATATGAAGAATTCGCAAATAAAGCCACAAAAATGTGATTCAAAAAAGAAATGCATTGAAAAGAGTAGTAAAATGAGTGATAATTCGCATATTAAGAGATTGAGAGAGAATATCAATTATCACGAATTGATTGAAGAGAAACTTCTGCAGGGATTTAATGATCACTGTTTGGCCGAAGACACTAAACAAAGGCACACAAGACTCGGCAATAGGAAGAGAACCGAAAGCGGTTCCAGTGATCTCAAGGAAAGGGTATCTTCAGTGAAAGAGAAGCGGCAAAAGTCTGATAAATCAAAACATCGTAGAAGTGGTGGCAAAGAATCGGTTAATAATAAAGAGGTTCGCAAACGAGACAAAGCAAAGCATAAAAAACATAAAAATAAAAGTGCAAAGTATTCGGAGGACAAACACAAGTCATATGATAAACACAAGTCCTATCAAAACGGCGAAAAGGAACCACAAATGCCTGCAAGTGATGTAATCGATGAAAGCATTGATTGGATTAAAGGCTACAACAAAACTGTTAACAGTTTGGTTAGAATGAAGAGTGTTTTAGCAAAAGTGGAAAATTCTGCCACAAAAGACACAAATGATAAGAAAAGTGAGGAAACAATTGCAACTGAAAATTCGCATTTTGAGCCTAAATGTGAGCACAAAACTCAAAGTGAATCCAATGATAGATTACCTGTTGTTATGACTAAAACTGAAGAGAAGACGACTCATTCAAAGACTCAAATCAATACTTATCCTAACATTAATGCCAAACGTGTTTGTAATGTACAAAAAACTTTGCCTAAAAAACATACAAAATTAACGTTTAAACTTAAACGTAATAATACTTTGAATCACTCTTTATCTCCGAATAACGATAACATCGATAGTAATAATAATACAGATTTTATTGAGCAAAAAGTTTTATTACAACGAAAACTGAGAGACGAATTGTTGCAAAAGAATACACAGAAAAGATTGTCCGCAAACAATAGTTAATAGTATTAATTGTGAAATTTATATTTATTATTATTTATATTTTACACATTATTTAATATTCAAAATCAGTTGATTTTTGATAAGAATAATTTCCCAATTCATTAACTTTTTAAAAAACTAATATATTATATACGAAATCCGATTTATAAATTAAGATATGTTGCAACCCTTAAATATTGTTTTATTTATTTTCCAAGTTATTATACTTTACTTTAGTAAATAAACCAGGCACAAAATGTGCTAATACAAAACTAATTTATATTTATAGCCATGAGTGTTTGAATTTTACGCTTAATTTTTAAATCTAAATCCTATGATGATGTTTAATGTAGAGCTGTAAGTTTAAACACTCTAGTTTATAGCATTTTAAATCATTATTAATGATTCATTAATCATGTTAAGCTATGTATTTCTCAAAATAATGTTTTCAT